CTATGAAATTAATAGGCTCTTTCGTGAAAGGGTTTTATTGACATTACAATATTTATGAGCCGTTCCAGTTCATGAAAGGAGATAAGCAGTCAAGCTGTAGAACATGCGGATTTATTTACTTGACTTATTTATTCATATGTTATATTTATTTATTTGCTCAATTATGGATACGCTTATTTTTTGTATATAATTAACTAACCTTCTTAATCAGTTTTACGTTGACCGATATTGATTAGGGAGTTTGCCCCATTTTTATTTGGCACATTCAGCGAGATTAGTGCTCGCGACATCATGTGAGAGCACACCATCAAAACATCTTGCAATCTATGAACTGTGACCTTTACTAAAAAAAAAACAAAAAATTACCAGCGATAGTCAGTGTACGTTTGAGGTTTGAAATATCGCACGTCAGAAGTCGCGAGCAGGCAGACTGCGCCCCCGTAGTCAATATTTTTTTCCATAAAAAGAAAAAAAGAAATGTTGAGAGGAGGTTGGGAAAGGCGGAAGCTGAAAATGAGCCGGTACTCACTGATTACAGTCAGTGCACTACGACCATGAAATACTTGCAGCGTTAAAGCGGAAACTTTCAATGGAGTTCGGAAAATCCGGCATTCCGAGCTCGTGTTCTAGCGTGAACATGGTGCTTCGGTTGACGGCTGATCCATCTTTATGCTCTAGCACAAAAAATAAAAATACCAAATATGTATTGTATGGTTTCGTGACATCTTCGACAAAAAAAAAAGTTTGCTGGTCGTTTTCTTGATTTATTTCATGAAATCTAGCGTTGATAAAAAGTGTTGAAATCTAAACTTGTTTTTACCCGAACATTCTGGTGGCTATAGGAAGCGGGGGGTGGGGTGGAGGCTAAACGACAGTACTTCTGAACGACAAAAGTTGAGAGCGAGAACAATTTTCAATGCTTCATTGTTCAAACTTTCTGTTAGGTTGACAAAAAAGATCTGATAAAAAAATAACCGGTGTAGAAACGCGATGAAAGTGCCATTGAACGCGCATTACCACCGGGCACTATACTTCCGACCGGGCAGTCAATCTTCTGGAGGGCGGGCGCCAGGATGAATCATGGAAGCGTCCACTGTGAAGCCGCCAACCCTAACGATGTCACATTTCAGGTGTGTGAAAAAAAGTTTCACTCATAAAAGGCTCATGAAAGGTCGTATAAACTGCCCTTGGTTTCTCTTTCGGTTTCCACTTGATGAGGAGGAACCACTTGCAAAAAGCTATGTACATGCGTTATATTTTATGCCGTTCTAATTTTCGGCTGGCGTGCGAAAGAGCGATTGCTGGGAAGAGGCTTTGGCTGGAAACAATCGCCGTCTCACGGATATGTCAGGCTTTAGTGAATAAGGTCACTTTCTGTCTCAAGCACGAAGTTACAGTAACGCTGAAGTGGAAGTTTCGCGTTTTTAAGTCTCGATTTTGAGCAAACCTCTTCGACTACCAATATACATATTATGACGCTGTAAAGTAAAAGAGGGCCTTGACAGCGTCTTAAAGAAATAATTCTATGTGAGCTTTTATAACCAAAGAAATTCTGATTACGTTTTAAGGTATAGGTGTATACGTCACAGGTTGGTCACGAGGGAGAAGATCGTCGTGGGTGTTTCGGAACTGGTCTGACTCGCTTGGTGTTTTGTGCGGTTCTGCTTGTTTTCAGCCAGGATGTCGCTATTTAAAGGCTAGGACAACGGTTCTGTCATTCCGCTCAAAGTCACTTGAAGGCCAGTAAAAAAGTAAGCTGAAGAATTTTGTCTTTTTCTCGCTTTTTCTTCTCTTTACTTTTATCTTCATATCTCCGCTTTTCTCTCTCTTTTTGTTGTTTCGGTTTGTTCGCCCCTTTTTGTCTTACTGTCTCTTTTTTTCTACCCGTTTCTCGTGGCTGTTTCTTTCCATATCGTTCTCTCTCTTTTATGTCTTTCTCTGTCTTTCTGTTTCTCTCTCTGCATTTCTTTCTTTCTTTTTTCTTTCTCTCTTTCTTTCTTTCTTTTTTTCTTTCTTCTCTTTCTCTCTCTCTGTTTTTCTATTTCTCGCCATCTCATTTCTTTCTATTTTTCTCGTCCTTTTTCTCTCGACCTATTCCTTTCTCTTCAATTTCTATCTATTTCTATTTCTATCTTTTTCCAGTGTTTGTTTTCGTTCGACACTAGCGGGACTTGCCCGATTTCTATGGCGCCTACCCACGTGGAGAGTCTTCCGGTGACACCGCCGACGGCCTTTGCAGTCGGCGCCATTTCCAAGGAAGCATGCTGCATCTTCGGTGACTTAGAGATTTCTAATCAAATCGCGACATAGCTTCCTACTCAGACGGGCCATTTTGAAGAAGGCATTTCCGAAATAAACGAACTGGCACACACCGAGGCGTAAGGTCCGACGTTCCGCGCCTACGCTGGCTCTCCTCTGATCTCGACGTTGTAGAATAGAGATCCGTCAATAAGATACTATGATATTTCGCAGCACTTCCACTTAGGAGGGAGTGTGTACCCTCTTCTTCACAGATAATTACGCAGAGACCAGACAACAGAACTTAGAGACACAGACAGGCTCATACCCAAATTTGTTCGTATTTCACAAAATGTATCCGGATACGTGCACCATAGCTGCTCCTGCCGCCATTGCGGGGAGGTAGCTAATCTCTAGATTAGCTTTATCTGGACCAGCGCCAGAGCACATGCTCTGGCGATGTCCTGCGTTACTGGGCATATATCAAGCCAAGCAAGCCAAGTAGTGCTCCGCCATCAGAAGCCCCAACAAGGAGGATCAGCTATGGGCCATCCACAGCTCCCAAGATGCAGCGGTCAGGCTTAGCTTGCTAGGCCTAACGAGGGAGGACCCTACTGCGTGCTAGTCGCGTCGCAGTTGGGAAAATTTGACCAACCAACCAGTCGCACAAACTGCGGCTAGCTAAAATAGCTTCGCTGTTAATGCCGTGTGCCCTCTCAGGCGAGGGAGTCGAAGGCGCGTGAGTTGCGTATTCACTTCGTTTTTGAGGCGTCGACTCGTCGGATTCTGAAGTGACGTTTCAGCCGTCAATGTATCGCCAGTAAGGTTTGTGCCTTCGAATGTGTTTAGCGATAGCGTAGGAGGCCCTCGGAATTTTCCCTCTCATCACTGTAATGTGAAGCGGAGTTGCCATTGCCATGACAGGGTGGTCTAATTCGGTTCTTTTATTTTTATTAAAAACAATAAACAAACTTGCTCCATACGTAATATTTTCGACGTGTTTGATTGCGAGTTGTTCTCAATAAACAACCGATGACAAGCTTAGTGAAAGTAACTGGACAAAGAGTGGATCAACTATTTGAGTGAAAATTGAAAAGTAAATATTTGGCTTGCTCGACTGCAGCTTCAATATCCTTTCTTTTTTATGTAACCGTAAATGGGTAAAAAAGGGGGGGACAAAGAAAAGAAAGCTTTACAAGCGCCTCCTTGAAGTTAGCTATGAGGCTATAGAAGACAAAGCCAAGAAGTGCTCAAGTCATAAGAGAAACAAACGTACACAGCCAGAAGAATATATACAACAGTGCGAGAGAGAATAGCGTTCGGAAACTGGTCGTGCGATTTGTAATGTTTTATTTTTTTTTGCTTCTCGTGCCCCACACACTAGCGTACGTGGCTGCAAATAACAAATAAAACACAACGCACCAAGAAGAATAGAAAGCGCGAAGTTCTAATCTAGCTGCTACTCGTTACTGCCTTTTTTTTTTCTTCCGGGAGTGTCTTCCGCTGTTGTCTCTAAAAACAAAAGCAGTCCCTGTCTTTCTTATTGGCATCGATCGACTCTATCCGATCGTACTTCGCGTAGCTCCGAAGGGTTCGCACTGAAGCGCCGTGTCCTTGTGTTGCGCTGTGCTACTGCGTAAATACTGGATCAACGATTCCTTTCCAGGTCTTGGCGAGACCGATCCTTTTGTGCGTAGAATATAAAAGCATTGAGTTCTTAGATATAGATGCAAGGCATTAGCACTCAAGAGTCAAAAGAAGTTGGGATTCATTTTGTTGTGTGTAGTACAGGCACACCATAAGGCAGGAAAGCCCAATCAGATAACAACTATTAAGTGAGTAGCTCAAAAACCACTCTCTCTTCAGTGTTTTCGGTGTGCTCATGCAACGTATAGCTGTCGTACAGTCTTACGTAATTTATCAAATTGATTGATTGATTTGTGGGGTTTAACGTCCCAAAATCACCATTTGATTATGAGAGACGCCGTAGTGGAGGGCTCCGGAAATTTTGACCACCTGGGGTTCTTTAACGTGCACCCAAATCTGAGTACACGGGCCTACAACATTTCCGCCTCCATCGGAAATGCAGCCGCCGCAGCCGGGAATCGAACCCGCGACCTGCGGGTCAGCAGCCGAGTAAATTTATCAAATTCTAAGCTATAACATGCGATTGACACTACATTGGCACAAGTAGGTAGTGTGGCTTTCTTTTTTCAATCGATAAGCGCAGGAAAATATTGTAATACAGTCCTAAATTGCAGGACAAGATAAATAAAGTAAAAAGTGGCATCATGGACGTCATCAAAGCACGCAATTTGACCATGCCAAAATACAGGTTGGAATGTTCTAAGCAGTGTACAAGCCATGTAGACAGAGATGTGACTTGAGTGTTGAAAAAAAAGCAAGTTTTTAGACACGTCAAAATACACAATGTCACGTGTAAGAAAGATAGATGTGTGCACCCTATTTGTATTCGCGTTACATATACGTGTAATGCCGCTTCGCTTCTCTAAATGCCCATTGAGGTCTTCTTCTGTCACTTATCTACTTTGTTTGCATTCTTCTAAGCTGGAAACTATTACGAGAATAAAAATGCGTCTTTCTGAAGCATATACTTTGGTCCTTCACCGCTGAAGCCCAACAATTTCGTTACACGACCACAAGCTTCAGTGTTATATTTACTCAACAGTAATACGCAGATTAGCAGTTTCAGTCTAACGCATCAGGAAGTGATCTGGTTAACGTAAGTTGAACTGTCTTACCCAGTGATTTTTCCACTTGTTCATGACGAATGCTGGGCCAAGAGAACGAGCTGGGTTCAACGAAGCCCCCGAAGCTGGCAGCTAAAAGAAGTGAAACATAAAGCAAATTATTGAGCCAAGGTATTGCATAAACGCACTGTGCAGTGCTTCTCTGCAACACCACGTGTTAATGAACACCAATACCCCCGCAGCACTTGATTATAGCTCAACCGAAAACAAAAAAGCACACTAGTGTTAACTATGCCTGTCGAGTAATGGGCAAAGGAGTTATGAATAACAGTAATAGCACAATCGTCTATCCGAAGGGCGTACGACATCAATTGAGTCGGAATCGGACCACTGCAATAACAAAACGAAATGCTTGTTTCATAGTGAGAGCAAAGGCTAACATGCGTGCTTCACAGACAGCTCGGAATCAGCACAGCGTGTACTATTTGTACATCAAGCAATGACAGCTTCTAGGCAAATAAATTTAGGAAGTGAATGAAGACAATCGACGTATCAAGAAATGTGCGTTAGCTGAAAAATGATAGCAGCATTTACAGAAAAAAAAGAAAGCTTAGCTCTCTCGAAGCGTGCAGCTACTTATTGAGCTTGGAGAAAATATTCGATAACTCAAGGCGACACGCAACTATACCCAAGTACAGAACAAGTATACTTTACGCGATGACGTTGTCGCAGGTCGTAACTTTCTTTTATAAACACGAACATTTTCTTGCAGCGCAATAATCAGGAGTACGCAGTTTTGAGAGAGTCATGTACCTGTGTCAACATCTTCAGTACTTCTTCTATGGGTCTCTTTAACAGAACAATTAGCAAAAAACGTAGGTGGAGACAACGTGTCAACAGGACGAATTGTCTTCGTCAGGACCTGACGGGAATTTAGCATGCCGGTGTCTCAGACAGCTCCCTAGCTCGGAACGTTAAATCTAGCAGAATTTTAGTGTGATAACATTTATATGAGCACGCCAGGCGTAATCTTGCTGTCATCGTGAGGTTTTTTATAATGTTTAAGGGCTTTTACAACGCCTCGCGCATCGTCTGTTCTGCGTACAAGTGAAAACCAGCAAAGGGCAGCCGATGATCGCGGCTTTCAATCGCCTACATAGGTAACGGCGCAGCCTTTCTATGTCGCATGAAAGGTCCATCGAGATGTCCCGAAGGGGAATAGGTGATGGTGCGTTGCTCCGGCAGCAACAGTTTACATTCAACGGCCAGGCGCGGTAGCGCGCACCCTATCTTCACAGAAATCAGCAGACAGCTCATGCCTTTGCACGTGTTGCGTCACCACCTCTCAGTTCACGTTGAACTGACGGAAATCACGAATATCGCTTTGCTCGCTGCTGTAGCTGCATTTCCTTGTAGCCAGCGTTTTGTTCAGTTACGCCGGATCGGATGCTATCTGACAGGCATTGCTCGCGTAAGATTCCATTAATTTTTGCCATCCCATCCAATGTTATACGCCATTGTGACGAAACTGTTACCTATCTCTTTCGACCAATACTGACCTCTTCAAAACTTCATTTTGCGAGCGTGCATCTATAGGAAAAATGTAGCTGAACATCGGTCCACACACGTTGCAGAGCACATGCGCTACGAAACTTACGGTGACGAAGCTGTGCGTATCAACGTTCAAAGCGGGGACAGTACAAACGCAGCATACCCCGGCCAAGGTGCAGGTGAGGTAGGCGAACCCGACGACCAGTGCGTCCGCGCCTCCCGTGGACAGGTGGCACCGGTGGGATCTCGTGTGGCGAACACCGTTGAGGCGAGGAGGAAACTGAGCACGAATTCGACGCCGAACGCCTGCCAGGCGCCCAGTGCCTCGTGGGGACGGCTGCTTCCCAGAGAACTCCGATGACCAGGAAGCGTGACGCTGCGCCGAAGTAGAAAGACGAAAGGAGGATCTTAGAGGGTGAAAAGTGTAAATAAATGAATAAATAAATAAATAAATAAATAAATAAATAAATAAATAAAAAGGGAACAGCTTCACACTGGGGGTCCCGGCCTGAAGAAGCCGAAGAGATAGGTTGCGTTCTCTTTTTCTATTAATTTTTACTTTTTTGCATGTTTCTTTGTTTTCCCCGCATCACTCGGTTTTTCTATGTTGTTTTGTCTATATTTCTACTTCTTTCTTGCTCTCTCGCTTTTTCTTTCTACTTCTTTCTCTTTCTATATCTGCCTTCCTTTTCTGTCTCTGCCTCACACCTACCCCCTCTCGCTGTTCCTTGCTTCCTTCCCTTTTCCATGCTTTTCTCTCTCGGTATTTATTTCTTTCTTTCTCTTTCTGAGATTCTTTTTCTGCAGTTTCAATTACCTCCGTTTTCTCATTCCTTATATTCTATGCTTAACTCTCCCCTCCTCGTTTTCCTCCTCCTCACCCTCGCTTTCCTTTTCTGCCTTCTTGCTGTGCGATACCACACTAGGCTGCTCTATGTAGTGTCGGCGAGCGTGGACAGACAAGTGGTTAAGACGCTCGCCTTCGGGTCCTGGGCACGCGAGTTCGAATCACGTCGCCTCGTGGGAATTTTTCTTTCGTCAAGATTTTCTCTCTCCTTATTCGACTTTTCTCTCCGTTTCTTTCTCTCCCTCTACACTCGTTCGATCGTCCCACACGTCGGCGTTGTTACAGGCCGCACCGGAGAAAGCAGTGAGCACGAGAGCAAAGCAGAAGATGAAGCAGATTGAGATGAAGTGTATAAAGAGACATCGATTCGATTCGTGATGATGCTAGTTTCTGATCTCATTACGCAGTGCGACGTAAAGCTTTCATGAATTCGCTGTTAAAAGAGAAGATACTTCAGGGCAAATATATGTTCCTAGTTGAACAACAAATGTATCTGAGGAGTAATGTCATGCTCGAAATGGTTGGCAGCATGTTGCCCTCTCCTTAGCGCTTGAATCCGAAAGCCTGCTTCGCTAATAGTAGTGCGTGAAGTTATAGAGTCGGGAACTATCCTGGTTGCAAGACATAGAGAAGAGAAGTTTCCGAGGCACGCACATAATTGCCTTTACGTTCTGATTCTATTGTACTGTTCGTCCCCCACCTCCCTTGAAGCTTTCTACCGGAAAAACTTTCGGACGTTCGTCGCTGTGCCACGTTATCAGATAAGCCTGTGCGAGTTTTCTTTTGTTTTTAGCTATTTCCCTTTTTCATTTCCCCTTTTCACCTTTCTGTCCCATTTCCCTTTGATCAATGAAGGCTAGGGAACAGGGAATTTTTTTTCTGGTTAACCTATCTGCCTTTCACTCAACCTTTACTCTCTCTCTCTCTTTCTCTCCACATCGCGTGTTGACTATCTCCCGGAAAGGCTCACCTTCAACCAAGCGGTGACGTCATATGATTACGTCATGTAATGAGAGAGATTGAGTACAACTCTACTTGGGGCCAGTGCAATGACGTCACACAACGTTTACTTTGCGCATTGCTCACGCTAGCAGGTCACGCGGGTTTTAGGGACAGGCCTCGTGAGAATCTCCCAAAGTCTCGCAAGGTCTTGCGGCAGCAGGAAGCGCCAACATAACAAACTAATGCTTTCGCGTTGAAAAGTATATTATAATGCTACATACTTGGGTAACTTTCCGTGCCAATAAAAGTTTTCAACTAGCAATAGTCGCCCCTCAGTTCACACTTCATTGGGTATACGACACCGCCTCTGCGCAAAGCTACACACACGCAACATCTACACACACGTTGCCCTTCACTTCTCTCTCTCTCTTCTCCTTTAATCCCCTCACCCCTTCCCCCAGTGCAGGGTAGCAAACCAGACGTGCGTCTGGTTGACCTCCTTGTCTTTCATTTCTTCCCTTGCTCCTCCTCCTCTTCCTCCGTGCCAATAAAATGAAACCAACTGAGGCTGTATGTGTGCGCAAGCACAAACGCTCCCGTGGATAGTCCTATTCCCCGTTCGCGTTTTACTTATTTTTTATTTATTTCAGATAAATTAGACCTAATGCACCGCGGAGTGCTCAGTGCGAAACTGTGACGAGTAAATGACGCGCTGATTCAATGTCTATACACTGAAAGTACTTTATGCTGATAACGTGGCGTAGAGACGAACGTCAGAAAGTTCCGGTCCCGTATGTTTCCTTTAGTTATCAGGGCAAGTAGTATACAAAGCAAGGGAAGGAGTAGCGCTTCGAGATAGGTAATAGTCCACTTCAAATTGTGAAAGACTATGTCTACTTAGGGCAGCTAATAACCGCGGACCCGAACCACGAGCTTGAAGTAACTAGAAGAATAAGAATGGGGTGGAGCACGTTTGGCAAGCACTCTGAAATTATGACAGGTAGATTGCCACTATCCCTCAAGAGGAAGGTATTTAACAGCTGTATCTTGCCGGTACTTAGCTTCGGAGCAGAGACCTGGAAACTTACAAAGAGGGTTCAGCTTGAATTGAGGACGACGCAGCGAGCGATGGAAAGAAAAATGGTAGGTGTGACCGTAGGAGACAAGAACAAGGCAGAGTGGATTGGGGAACAAACGGGGGTTAAGGATATCATAGTTGAAATCAAGAAGAGGAAATGGACATGGGCCGGGCATGTAGCGCGTAGACAGGATAATCGCTAGTTTAAGGTTAACTAACTGGATTCCAAGCGAAGGCAAGTGGGTTGGGGGGAGACAGACGGTTAGGTGGGCAGATGAGATTTAGAAGTTTGCGGGTGTAAATTGGAAGGAGCAAGCACAGGACCGAGTTAACTGGCGGAACGTGGGAGAGGCCTTTGTCCTGCAGTGGACGTAGTCAGGCTGATGATGATGATGATACAAAAAAATACGCGCATTTGCTCGTTGCATGTTCTCTGTGGATACGGAAATCATTCAGGCCATTTTTGTTAGCCCCTATATTGTAGCGCAGTTATGACAGGTACATGTCAGAAGCGCGTGATATTGCTACATGCATGTATACTGATATTCTAGGGGGCGACGCGCGTGTGTGCCTGACGAGGAAGACGAAGGGTTGTCTCCGCTCGATCGCTGGTGAACCGGGCACGCCATTACCACTGGTTTGGAATATATCTAATCCCCAGCCTCGTCGTTACGGCGTCTCTTCTTTTCCGTAACTTATTTGGTGGAGGTGGAACGTTCCCCGTCTTCACCACGAAGCTTCGCAGTGGCCGCACCATTCAGTCTCCGGCCATGGCTACCAATGACCACAGCCTGTCAGCGTCTCCATCTGTTGCTCCAGCCACTACATACCTGACGATGCCCACCCCCCGTGATCCAGGTACATTCTCCGCACAACCTGGGCTCGACGTCGACTACTGGCTCCGTATGTACGAGCGTGTTAGCCACACACACCGATGGGACCCTACCATGATGCTCGCCAACGTAATATTTTACTTGGACGGCACCCCACGGGTCTGGTTCGACGCCCATGAGACCGAGCTCACCAGCTGGGATACCTTCAAGGAGCGACTACGCGACATCTTTGGGGACCCGTCCGGTCGCCAAATAGAAGCGCGAAAAGAACTCTCCACTCGTGTGCAGTCGTCAACAGAGTCGTATGTCTCGTACATACAGGATGTCCTCGCGTTGTGCCGAAAAGTCGACGAGCAAATGACAGAGAGTGACAAGGTGGGCCACATACTTAAGGGCATCGCGGACGACGCCTTCAATTTGCTCGTCTACAATAACGTCACGACCGTAGATACGACTATCAATGAATGCCGTCGCTTCGAAATGGCCAAAAGCCGCCGTGTTCTGCCTCAGTTTACGCGGCTACCAAACACGGCTGTTACATCCACTTGCACCGATCTCGGTGCCGCACCACCCATGCAGGACAGCGTGACACGAATAGTTCGACGGGAGCTTGAGGCGTCAAGTCCGGCACCATTTCCTCCACATCCGCTCGATCATGGCGCCGAAGAAACGCCTCCGCCGGTCTCCGTTATTCAAGCCGTCGTGAGGCAGGAAATTGCAAAGCTTGGTTTTCCTGTGGCCTGCTCTGTGTCCCGACCCGTCTCCAGACCAATGACAACAAATGCACCACATTTTATTCCGCGATCCCGCAATCCGGCGGAATGGAGAACTGCAGACGACAAGCCGATCTGCTTCCGCTGCCACCGAGTTGGCCATATCTCCCGCTACTGCCGCAGCACTTGGACGCCCTCAAACTGGAGTCAATTTTCCTTTAATCGACCATACGAGGACTCCCGTCGGTATTCGCCCAGTCGTGTGTACCTTTCTTCCGACATCCCCAACAGCCGCTCCACTGCTCGTTCGCCGCCACCTAAACGTCGCCGTTCCCCATCGCCCCAACCACGCCGCTATCCGTCGCCGGTCAACTGTGGATCCTCTCGGACGGAAAACCAGATTATGCAGCTCCGGGAGGTAGTGCTGCATCGCTTGCGAATGATCCAAATCCTCCATTGACGCTCCCCACTGATACGAACTTGATTGAGGTGTATGTGGACGGTATTTCCTTGACGGCGTTAGTCGATACCGGAGCTCAAGTGTCTATAATGAGTGCTCATCTGTGTCGCCTGCTCAAAAAAAGTCCTCACGCCTGCAGCAACTAAAGCCCTCCGTGTCGCTGATGGTGGAACTGTGGCCATCACTGGAATGTGTACCGCTCGTGTTAGTATTGCCGGCCGCCATGTTCCCGTTTTATTTACGGTGCTTGAAAATTGCCCCCACGACCTAATCTTCGGCATGGACTTCCTATCGACGCATTCTGCCCTCATCGATTGTGCCGCCGGTACTCTCTGCCTAGAACTTCCTCTTCTCCCGGATTCTGACCTTGAACTCCCGAACAGCTTGTGCACCACTGACTTCTTCCGGATACCACCTAAAGCTCTCACATTCATCGAATTGGCAACACCCTCTCCCGTGCTTGACGGTGATTATATCGTGACGCCGATTACTGATGTTCTCCT